ATTAGATCTCCTGTAAAATTGCAAAAATATCACTTGAAACAAATTTTTCATCCCTTGAAATCTATATATTAATACGTGAAGCAAAAACTTTGTATCCCTTTTTACGAAAATTGCGCGGACGGAGGAGTATGAAATTTTCCACACTTATAGAGAATATAGAGAAGAAGTGCACAATGCTAATATTTTTTTAAAATAATGCATAAAAGATACATTAAATCAATAAAGAAAACATTACACACGCTACGTACCATGTATTTGACGCACACACGCATGTATATTATTTATTGTCAAACTTTTGTTCGTGACGTCTGTTGTCAAATTGAGAATAGATTAAATATTGTTTGTCTTCGTTAATATTTTTTATAGTGTAGTCTTGGCGAAATTTATGATTATAGAAGTATAAAATACAATCATAATAGTGTACAAACTTACAATTCCAATTAATTTCGAATTTCGACTACTGCGGGACCTCTAGTATAGTTTATTATACGTAGCTTGATACACGGGACAGATGACGTAGGGATATTCCTGGGGTTGGGCGCTGTTTAAATAGAACGATTTTGAAATAAACTGTCATGCGCATCAAGCTTTGTTGAACGGACTATGTCCGCCAACGCGATTACATAACAGGGGCGTGTGTGTGCGTCGTGTGTGTTCACGTGTGTCGTACACTCGTCACTCATGGAGCCAGTTCGACCTGTTCAAATGTCAAGTGCAACGGACTTGTCTTGGTGGGTCGGAGCGTTGCACCGGACCCTCTGAGGCTGAGAAACTTCGATAACTATGACCCGTTTTGATGCTTTTCTATTGTTTTATAACTTTGAGTGTGCATGAGTTATGAGGTCAACTGTAGTCCCGAAATTCGAAGCTAAACGCTTTCTTGCGGGCTACTTCCTACTTTACAACTATATTTTTTGTGGGTTAGATTTTTATTAAAATATGACCTTCTTAACTCAAAGAAGCTTGTGAAGTGGTCAGTGTCTGTCGTCAAATTTGAATTTCGGATCAATCGAAACGAATGCTGTGGCGTCTTAACCGTAGGGTATTTTCTATTGAAACTCGATCGATCTTGATGTGGGTATGTTTCATTCAGTGCTTACAACTATTGCCTTAAAATAACTCCCGGCATTTTACGGGGAATTGTGGGATATTAGTATGATAATTGTTTGAGCTCGATCGATCTGAATGTGGGCATGCTTAATCCAGTACGCACACCATTGCCCTGAAAGCACCCGCCGCATTTTAGGGGAATTATGGTGGGGTATTTGTACGATAATTGTACTTGGGTGGAGGCCTGTCTTTGTCATTCTTTGTCTTTGTCTTGTCTATCCTCTCTGCTATTCTACCAGATCCGACCATAATAATATGTTTACTGCCCAAATAACATTAAAGTACTGAAACGACACATGAAACGAAATGTGAAAGTAAATAATATCATATAAGGGCATTACGTTCCGGTATTATAGCCCTTGACATTTGCTCATGCGAATATACCACGTCGTCGTCCTAAATGCGTCATATGTCAATGTTAATATAGGTTTCTTGATGAACGAAGGTGTCGTGTCCCTTTATAGGTATCGAGGTTCATTGACCAGGTACTTCAGGTACTTTTGCAGGTACGAGCAAACCCCTAGTTGCTCGGAGAGAGCTGGAGTAGGGGTTGCTTCTGTACTACCACCGCCCCAAGAGACGACATCCGTCTGTCATCCCGTGGCCTGGAAATTGTTAAACTTGACCACGATGAACCAAAGATTACGGGATTTTCTCTGCTTCATCTTTGGTTGACTGGTAGGGAATGCCTAAGCAATTGAGTTCGCTAATGTATAAAAGACGCATAAATAAATAACTATGGTCATTATTTTCGAGACAGTTTGGTTCTTGGCAGGGTGGTGGTACCTACCCGTGCGGACTCACAAGAGGTCCTACGACCAGTAATTACGCAAATTATAATTTTGCGGGTTTGATTTTTATTCCACGATGTTATTCCTTCACCGTAGAAGGAAGGAAGTATACGTAGCTAGAGCAATACAAACATGTCAACCGCTCGCGAAAACTGAACGAAGCGCAAATCTTTGGTTCTTATGATTTACCTAAGTCAGTTATACACCAAATGAGAGACCTATTTTAATATCGTATCTGACGCAATAGCCGATCAAACAGGTCGTTTAGTCTATACCAGTAATATCTAGGAAATGTGAGAAGTATTTCGTAATTGCGCTGGCGAATATGCAAATCAGGGCGTGAACAGTACGCAAATAGGGTTAGGGGAACTAGTTTTATTGTATCTAAAATAATCTAGACAAAAATTACATGGTCTTGTTAATATGAGACTATTTCCTGTTAGTTAGAATCGCAGATGAATGTAGAAGTAATAAGTAAAAGTAATTGGGCTGGCCATATATACCGTAGGACTGACGATCGCTGGAGCAGACGGGTTCTCGAGAGGAGACCGCGCAGCTGAAGATGTAACGTGGGACGCCCCCTAGTTAGGTGGTGCGATGACCTCCGAACGGTGGCCGGCAAGAAGTGAATGAGGAGGACCGTAGACCGGGCTTAGTGGTGTGGATTGGGAGAGGCCTATGTCCAGCAGTGGACGACTGTGGGCTGTTGATGATGACGATGATTTAGAAGTAATGTAGTGTACTGTAGAAGTATGTAATAGAATTGCAGAGAATGAGTTAGCTTCGTTCACACGTTTGATATATTTACCTCTTGTGTTGGATGCAAACAGCACAGTACCAATTGCTGTGGCGAGTTTTGGAGTAGGCTTACGTCCAGCACTAGAGGTCACGCTGATAGATGATGTAGGTCATACAGGTTGAGAGATCGCGGGCTCCTTTTGAGCAAGAGAGTCCTTCAAAGCTTATAGGGATTTCAAAATTAACTGCCAAATTCGCCTCCGTAAAAGGTTATACTGGGAAGATAAAGGACTTCGAAGCTAGTACCGTAAATTGGCAAACGGTCTCTCTGGTGTTATATGGCACCTTGAGACATGAGTTGAACTTATCAGTTTTAATGTATGGCAGCTTAGAAATCGCGATGGATAACAGTTTCGCGACAGGATAGTGGTAGGCAGTCCTTACTACTCCATAACAATACGACCTTAGTAAGAGTAGTTTATTGTATTACAAATAATAATATCGACTCGACAAATGAAGAATATTTTGTCCATATAACAGTGTCACATTGTGCATCATTCTTAATTTCATTGCTTGCGTATAACCAATCCGCTATGAAGAACTTAGACCTAACTAGATTAGTCGTCAGTGACCACTATGACATATCTTTCTTCAAACGCGGCTTGTGGAGAGTACTTAACGGTAGGGAGCGGCTTGGCTCTGCCCCTGACATTGCTGAAGTCCATGGGCGACGGTAACCACTCACCATCAGGGCTGTATGCTCATCTGACTACGCGGGCAATAAAAAATAATTAAAAAACTAAAGCATTCGTGAAGTCAGCAATATAATTTGATGACAAAAAAATGCAAGATTAAATCATAACAGTAATTTTAATTATGTTTTATGACTCGAAACCAAAGTACTAGATAGTTAGAGCTTTCAAAAGATTCGTATATCCCACAGCTTAATACATGTTTCTTCTAAACCATATATTGGGACTTAGAACTCATATATCAAGGTGGATGGCGGTATTTACGTTGCAGACGTCTATGGGTTCCGGTAACCACCACCATTTGGGATGTGAACACTTCCACCTATCTGCGCAATAAGAAAAACCAAACCCATTAGATGTAAATTATGTCGCACACGATGCCATTTGACTTCGGATGTATTTTTGGACAGGGTTTTGAAGAAGAACCGGTATTTGTAAGCACGCGCTTAGATTTTGATCATGAACCTGTAACCAAATGAGTTGGTAAATGCTTTTATTTTGTCGACACAATTTAGACTAATCTCCCGACAGAGAGACAGCCTTAGAAATGGCGACCCAGTTTCCACAAACAAGTTCTAGATTAATAGCCTTGTACTATTGTTTGCTTAACTGGACTTCAGGTTGATAATGCTTCATATTAAACGTTAAGGTGTTGAGGTTTTTGTTAAGTTGTCGCGTATGGACAAATTATCACACGACTGGTTTGCTTAAGGCGTCATCGACTAAACAAGACGTGCCATGCCAAATTATAATGAAGTCACCAAAAGCCATATTGATTTTGATTTAAGTTTTACTGTTTAATTGAATTATAGGTTTTTTTTTCGCATGACAATATAATTAATTGGTTATTTCCTTATAGCCATTTTTGTGGCGTTCGATTTCGTTGGTCAAGTTTATCGCACTCATTAGGTATTGGTTACGCTAAATATTTTTATGTGAACATCGGGTTCGTTGTGGTGGCGTTGTGAGGCTGTAAGGAATCGTATCATTATCATCATCATCATCATCATCATCATCATTCTCTTGCCCTTCTCCCAGTCACCTGAGGTTGGGGCAACATTTTTTCTCCTTCCATACTCCTCTGTCATATACCATTTCTTCGCTTACACATATCGTCTTTCACGCAATCCGTCCATTTTTTCATAGATCTACCTCTTCCTCTACGGGAAAGTATCACCTTCCTGCCTATTTCTGAAGCGAAGCGGTAATTCTTACCGATTTGAAACTTGGGACAGCCGTTATAAAACGTCGTTTGGGTCGTCAACTTCGTGTGTCAAATTGGGGCCTATGGGTCCCGGTAACCGCTTAATTCCTTGTCGTCCAAGGAAGGTTAGATGGTACTAGACCGCGCGCGAGATCTCTCGTGTTGCAAACCAACCAAAATGGGTGCAATAGGACGTCCTGGAGCAGGATCATAAGGCGGGGCATCGTAAGACATGTCGGATCTGCTCAATTCAATAAAGTAATGATCAACTAGTGTTCAAGAGTGAAACAATTAGGGAAATGAACCACTGAATACACGATGGCCCATCAGCTTTTCCCATCATCTAATACGAATGAATAAAGATAGAAACCTAGTGGTTTATCCTTGGTTATGTTATTGTTTTAGATGACGGTACAACTCCGAAGAAGCGTCCCAAAGAGATGTGTCTCTCAGACGCTCCCCACACAATGGAGATCGCCAAGATACTGGTGTCGCTGCTGCACGCTTGGGGTCTCGACCCTGACCTCGACAGGGTCTGCGAGTCGAAGCTCGGCCTATTAAGACCTATGGTAAGTGTGAAAGTTAAGATTTTTCGTACCTGATAAATACACCGGGTGTAATTATTATTGTTATTATTATTATTCAGAATGATATTATTTTCTTTAGTTAAGTTAAGCATGAAAGAGGAGTGCATGCGGCAGAGATGCGAATGTTGAGAGGGATGTGTGGAGTGACAAGAATGGATAAGATAAAGAATGAGTATATCAGAGGAAGTGTGAAAGTGGCCCCGGTAAACAACAAATTAAGGAGCGGACGGTTAGCGTGGTATGGACATGTGATGCGTAGAGAGAAGATGCATGTGACTAGGAGATGTATGGAAATGGCAGTGCAAGGTAGAGGGGGAAGAGGTCGACCGAAGAAGACATGGATGGAGTGTGTGAATGACGATATGAGAGAGAGGGGAGTGAGTGTTGAGATGACGGCTGATAGAAGAGAATGGAAGAGAAAACTTAGCTATGCCGACCCCACCTAGTGGGATAAGGTGGAGAAAAAGAAGAAGAATGATATTATTTCCTTCAGTTATGCATATACTACGGTATAATACGCAATACTGTTGTTGATGTTATTATTATTATTATTTTATTGCTTAGATGGGTGGATGAGCTCACAGCCCACCCGGTGTTAAGTGGTTACTGGAGCCCATAGACATCTACAACGTAAATGCGTCACCCACCTTGAGATATAAGTTCTAAGGTTTCAGTATAGTTACAATGGCTGCCCCACCCATCAAACCGAAACGCATTACTGCTTCACCGGAGAAATAAGCAGGGCGGTGGTACCTACCCGTGCGGACTCACGAGAGGTCCTACCACCAGTAATTGCGTAAATTATAATTTTGCGGGTTTGATTTTTATTACACGATGTTATTCCTTCGCCGTGGAGACTTCCGATTGACTAATCGTGAACATTTGTTGAGTACGTATTTCATTAGAAAAATTGGTACCCGCCTGCGGGATTCGAACACCGGTGCATCGCTACATACGAATGCACCGGATGTCTTATCCCTTAGGCGACGACGGCGGCCACACTATTAATAAACAAAAATGTATCTAAAAGTTGTTTATAGTTTAACACGTTTTTAAACTTCCGTGGTCCCAGGTCCCGGTGTGCTTCGGCGTGGTCTCCCGGCACGGCCACATGGCCGTCCAGCTTCCGACCCGCCTGATCAGCTGGACGGAGGCCTGCGCCGCCGCGCCCGACGACCCGCTGCTCATAACCTCGGATCTACCACCGGAACTATTGACCCAGGAAAAACTTACCAGGTAACTCACTCGGCCTGGGTGTAGGACTGATATCTCAGGTCTTGAAATTGGGGACGCCCCTTAGCTTGTTGATGTCTAAGGGTTCTGACGCGAACTTTCTGAGTGGATGGAAAGGAACAAAAAATCTAAAATAATAATATATTGACTTATTGGCAGTCTGATATTGTGATAATAGATCGGTCTGCGCGTCGAGCAGTGTTGGTTGATGTCACCATTTCTCATGACGAGAACCTCGTGAAGGCGGAAAAGGACAAATCAATAAAATATTTATCAATTATCTCAAGGTAGGTAGCTCACAGCCCACTTGGTGCTAAGTGGTTATCGGAGCCAATAGACATCTACAACGTAAATGCCGCAACCCACCTTGAGATGTGAGTTCTAAGTTCTCAGTATAGTTGTAACAGCTGCCCCACCCTTCAAACCGAAACGCATTACTGTTTCACGGCAGAAATAGGCAGGGCGGTGGTACCTACCCGTGCAGACTCACAAGAGGTCCCATCACCAGTAAAAAATTATGTGGGAATCGAACCCACCAGCCTCAGCACCACCGAATCAATCAAAATGATGAGAATTTCGTATAGGTTATTAAATATTTTGAATGTCAATAACAAGATTCCCTCGACTTCCATCAGGCTGTTCTCTTCGAAGCTACACTGGGAGTTGAGCACGACGCTGACCACGAACCATTTGCTGTCCATCGTGGCCTTAGCCAACACCCTCATGTCGATGAGCAACGCCAGCTTCCTACCAGAATCGGAGATGGCGCGGAGATTGCACAGGTAACAAACATAGCACACGTTAAAATATGCTGATATATTTTTTTGCCCACTAAAACTCCCTGCTCCCATTATCTATATTGTTACGCCGGTAAGAGTAGCGCCATCTATCGGGGAATAGTCGAACGAATATCGAAAGATCTAGTAGCATCTAGAACGCTCGAGAAGTATAACGCCACCTATTGTCAGATAGCGGAAACAATACTAGAGATGTGTGGAATATTCTCATACTATAGATTGCTGTTTCAAAAAAAAAAACGACTGTAATAGAATTATTTTGTCCGTGCAGTTTGGGTCATAAAAAATCGGACCGGTGAAGCGAGTATTTCGCTCTCTCGAGCCTTATGGACGGGCATAGGGATGCGCATTATTATTGTCGATAAGCGTTATCGATAGTGTATTTAGTTTTGTCATTTTGTGGGTTAGTGATAAAAATGAAAGAAAAAATCACTAATCGAACACTTACACCACATATCGCCGCAGCAAGTAAACAAGAGCGGCAGAAATTAACACTTTGTAACTTTTCGGGATCTATTCTTATTTTAGTGTAAAATTTTAACACATTGTTGATAACTGCAAGTGCAAATATTATTTTGAATAAATTCTGCCGTTTTGATACAAAACAAAGGAGTAGCCATTGTGTCACTAAAGAAATTCAGAGAACGAATGCATAAAAACACATTTTTCTTCGACATAATCTATACTAATATTATAAAGAGGAAAGATTTGTTTGTTTGTTTGTTTCGAATAGGCTCCGAAACTACTGGACCGATTTGAAAAATTCTTTTTCCATTAGAAGCCGACATTGTCCCCGATGAACATAGGCTACTTTTTTTTTTATTTTTTTATTTTTTTTTTGATTTCATGTGTGTTTTAATGTTTCCGAAGCGAAGCGAGGGCGGGTCGCTAGTGTACTATAATTTGCAGGTAAGTACAAATGACTCATAACATAACAACGTCTCACCACCCTTCGTATACCCCGCCGCCGTGTACCTGCCTTCGATAACTCATTTGTTTCTATCGATAATGCCGTTGCGCCCGCGCAACATGCTCACCGCCCTAGCCAGGTTATGTTTTATGACCCAAACTGCACGGAAAAAATAATTTTACTATAGTATTCATATTTATTGCTGTATATTATTGCATCCGCTTCAGACCTTCAACGCGAAGCTCTTCGTCGTGGGCGGCGGAGGAAGAACGCGAGGAGCAGCTCGCAGCCCAGCAGGCCCACATCAAGCAGGGCTGGTCGTTACTCGCCACGCTCCATTGCGTATTGCTTCCTGACAAAGTCGTTGCAACCGGTAAGCTTCATCAATGACTCGTCTAGCCATCGTCTAGTCTAGTCGTGGTCATTCAAGCTCATTGAGCCATAGTATTAACGCGACACCGGCTTAGAGTAATATCGTATCGAACTTTCAACGATCGCACGCTTTTATTTTGTAAGCTCCACGGTTTAACTGGTGTTCAGTAGTTTCCGGAGCTTTGTAGACATCACAATGTGAATGCGGCATGAGGTCAAATACTCAATTGTCATAATGACTGCCTTGCGGCTGAAATAGGTCAAATAGTGGTACCTACCCGATAGGACATACAATACGTTTTAGCACAAGTAAAAAACAAGTGAAGTGGTTCAATTGGCACATATGATTCGTGGATTCGAAGTATCTGGACGTCGTTTCTGACCGTGTGTGGTATTATAAGCCCACACGGTTTGGTACCACCTATCTGCGTACCTCTGCCGCTATGCTTTCGTACGCTATACTGGATCACGGGTCTCAAAATGGGCGGCGTGTCGAGACGTCAACAGGTTTCATGGACCGCTTTTCAGACTGCCTTTTTATATCGAATGGGGTGGATGGTTTCAGGAGCGAAGAACTTCAAGCGTCCCCAAGTGGAGATGCTGGCGCGCAGGTGGCAGCATCACTGTCTGGAAGTGAGGGAGGCAGCCCAGGCTCTACTCCTAGCTGAATTAGCAAGGTCAGAAGCCTTGAGTTAAATTTTGTAACGAGGAGGGTTGAGAAACTTTATCATTTAATCGTCTAATTGATGAGCTTTAGGATTTAGGACCACACCAGCTCGATTTTCGGTCGAAGTATGTGTTTATGGGTATATTTGATGGAATCCAGGGTCTATTGGTCAGATTTTTGTCTCATATGCGTGGGCGATGGAGAGAGCTTTGCTCAGAGTTTCCCTACAATCTCAGACCAGTAATGGGGTGTTTCGCAGAAATACCATGGTAACCGGCATAGCCCAAAGGATTATGACGTTGAAGCGGCAGTGGGTAAGGCACATTGCTCGTAAAATGGATGGCCATTGGGGCCGAAAAGCTCTTGAGTGGCGACCGCGTACCGGAAGACGTAGCGTGGGTAGGCCTCCCACAATATCGACGACCTATTAAGGTTCGCGGGGTCCGCTGAATGCAAGCAGTGCAGGACCAATCTTTGTGGCGAGGCTTGGGGAGGCCTATGGCAAGCAGTGGACTTGTGTGGGCTGATAGAATAGAATTGTAATGAGTGGGAAATCCCAGCTTGCATTCAGTCACCTTTATTGTCATCCATGTAAATATTGCTTTTATGTAACCCAAGCACCGGTCATCGTTCTCGTCGAACTCTTCGCTTGCGACGAAGGGCTCGACGAGTAAATTAACCCACAGACACAGCCCACTGAGTTTCTCGCCGGATCTTCTCAGTGGGTCGCGTTTCCGATCCGGTGGTAGATTCTGCGGAGCACGGCTCTTGCTAGGGTTCATGTTAGCAACAACGTCAGGATTGAGCTCGCTTACTAGCCCGTTGACGTTGATATGGTCTCATAAAGACCATTAGCTTAGGTAGGAAAAAAAGAGTAAATATTGCATACGACCTTACGCAAGTATCGGTAGCGACCATTAATGAATCTGTTAATACCATTTGTCATGTGAAGTCCTGTGCGTCTGCAGGTTGGGTCCGAAGGGTCGCAAGGCCCTGGTCGACAACTGGGCCCAGTATCTACCTCTGTACACGCACACAGAGAGCATCAACCCTCACGCGGCGCAGAAGGAGCCAGCCGAGAAATTGGCCAAAACGGTCAGTGGTCGTATTAGTTTTGGTTTTTTATATTAAATCTCTTGCGTTGGAAGTTTCTAGTGTATGTGGTGGAAGTTTCGGGAAGGTCATCGGGAAGACGAAGCATATCGAGGAGTGAAAGGCTTAAGCGCTTAGTACGTGATATTTATCTTTGTAATAAAAGGTCCGTTTCATTTGGTATCAGCATCAACAGTTCGATGTTTTTAATTGAAGAAGCTTTTTTGTTATGATATATTGTTCCAAATTTTAAACTTTAAATGGCTCTCTTGTATAGTTGAGAAAATATTAAATAAACTTTCACCCCTCGATAATATTGTTGATTCGCGAACTCGTCATCACAGGAGTCCTTGGTGGGCGTTGTACCTCAGGAAACATTGAAATATGTCGACGGTAATGTTGACCTTTGATTACTTTGATTGTACAGGCGGTTAAATTACTTAAACGATTGCAGATTACAATAATATTAGGGATTTAGAGTCAATCGCTTTGTGAATGACCGCCATGTGCGACTTGACATTCGTCCGCAATGTCAAACCCAACTTCATCCGGTGTTGCCCGCTCTCAATGAAATGTACCATTTAGTCGAATACTAAACGATAGATCGTTACCAATTTAAAATAGCGAAGAATAATCTAAATTTTTGAGGGACGAATTTTTTAAAGCTAAAAAACAAATGATATTAATTAATTCTTTAATGCAATTGATTCATTTGAAATTGAAAACGATTTAATAATAAAAAAATAAAAATCAATTTTTAAATATATCCACATCTGTGGCAATACATCGCCAAACTGACTTTTTGGCGGGAACGCGAGGAGTGAAGTTGTGTGATTTATTTTATTTTATCTATTTAGTGTTTCTTCATATTTAAAAGTGTAATAAACGTGAATTATTAACTGTTTAGTATCTGCGAAAGTGCACAAATGTGAGAAAATGAAACAAAACCGCTGGACGTAACTTCTCGGGTTCCTCCAAAAAGTCCGCTGAAAAAATCTCATGACCACCATTTTACTGATATTATTTTTCATCCAATATCATCTATTTTCATTTAGTTTCATCCCAGTTGATTAGTGTCTCAAATTAATCATCTTCATTTGATTTCATTTCACTCCAAATTATCATTTTTCATGAAAATAAGAATGGGAACTAAATTATGACATGATTTAAGGGTCTTCGTATCAGGTCATAAAATCACTTAAAAAATAAATAATATCGCCAAGCGTAAAACGTTAAAGCGTAGAATTAAATATATAGATAATATTTAAAAAAAAACTTATATGGATCAATATCCCTGAAGAGGTTAAATAAATGTGTCGCACTGTTAAAAAAAACGGCTTCAATAAACATGGAATAATGAATCAATCTGGACGCGGCAGGTTGATGAATTTGACGAGGAAGAAGAAGAGATAGTCCGGAAGCCGTCTTCCCTCGCCGAGCTGAAGCGGAAACAGACAACGGCCGTGGTCCTGCTCGGAGTCATAGGGGCGGAGTTCGGACAGGACATCACAAGCGAAGGTAGGACTTATACTGATACGAATAAAGGCTATTCTGCTTTGACAATTCGCAGCTTAATGTCGTTTTGGAATTGAGAATAGTGAGTGACGTCAGAGCGGTCGCCGACTTTGAAGCGTGCTTATTTCTGCCTATCCATCGTTCCGCCTATTTCTCCTGTCAAGTACCAATAAAAAAAAAACTTCAATTCTGTGATTATGTTAAGATCAATTTTGAAAATTACCTTGCCGATCCAACATAATCTATATATTAATACGTGAAGCAAAAACTTTGTATCCCTTTTTACGAAAATTGCGCGGACGGAGGTGTGTGAAATTTTCCACACTTGTAGAGAATATAGAGAAGAGGGCACAATGCTAATATTTTTTTTAAATAATGCCTAAAAGATACATTAAATCAATAAAGAAAACATTACACACACTACCATGTATTTGATACACACACGCATGCATACTATTTGTTTATTGTCAAACTTTTCTTTGCAGTTTGTCAGTTATAGTCTGTCAAATTTAAAAATAGATTAAATACTGTTTTCTCTTTAATTTGTCTAAAGTGTAATCTTGACGAAATTTGTGATTAAAGAAGTTTAATAGTCCTTGACAATAGAATCATAATAGTGTACAAACTTATAATTTCCATTAGTTATAATCGAATTTTGACTACCAGGGGACCACTAGTTATTATTATAACCTTGCATATAAAATATTTTTTTACTGGTGGTAGGACCTCTTGAGAGTCCGCGCGGGTCGGTACCACCACTCTGCCTATTTCTGCCGTGAAGCAGTAATGCGTTTCGGTTTGAAGGGTGGGGCAGCCGTTGTAACTATACTTGAGACCTTCGAACTTATATCTCAAGGTGAGTGGCGCATTTTACGTTGTGGATGTCTATGGGCTCCAGTAACCACTTAACGTGAGCTCGTCCAACCATCTAAGCAATAAAAAAAATAAAAAAAAATAAGTAATAGTAAAATTTGTTACACTTAAAATTTACAAGTTCCGCTCAGAGTCGGTTTAGCTTTGCAATTGAAACTAGACAGTGCTTCTGAAACTTTTCAAGTCCCCTCTCTCTTTGACTAACTTTAATGAATCGACATAATTGAGTTAACGTTTTTGTTATTGAAATGACATATTTACTGTATTACGATAAATAAAAATCAATATTTGTTTACATCTACATATATCTGTATGCGTGTTTGATCTCTGCGTTTCTAAATTATTTTTTCGATTGTGATAAAATTCGCTGCAATTGTTATTGTCTCTTCGGGGAAGAATTCTGCCATAGTACCGTCATTAAACGACAGGTGGCGCGCTAATAGTTTCAACAAATCGATGCTTTTCATACAACCAACGGATGTACCACAAACACCAAAGTTATAATTTTTTTAAAGGGATTTTATGGCCTGGTAACTAAGACCTTTAGGTGATGTCTTATTTTAATTTATATTCTTATTTTTATGAAAAATGATTATATGGAGTGAAATAAAATGAAGATGATTAATTTGAGACATTAGTCAACTGGGATGAAACTAAATGAAAAGATATGGAATGAAATATAATCTCAGTAAAATGGTGGTCATTTACTGAGATGTTTTCAGTGGACTTTTTGGAGGATCCCGAGAAGTTACGTCCAGCGGCTTTGCTTCATTTTCCCACATTTGTGCACTTTCACAGATATTAAACAGTTAATAAACCACTGTTACTACTCATTTAAACCTGAAGATACACTAAATAGACAAAATAAAACAAATCACAACAACTTCACTCCTCGCGTTACCGCCAAAAAGTCCCCCAAACTTTGAAACTTACTTCAAAAATCCTCCCAATAAACATATTACCATTCCTTGTCTCACAATTCAATATTTTAAACTATCCTAACGAATTCAATTTACCTTATTACAATAGAAACTATAACATACAGATTTCTTCGTGTAAAAACAAACTTAGAATTCCGTTTACTTTGTTATTATAGAAAGTTTAGCATACTAGTTTCTTCGTGTAAAAATAAAACACGTGTGGCACTCGGGGACTGCCGCGGTAAAGCTATGTATTATGTAATTATAATTAGACAATAATAATATAATATTAAAACAACAAAATAAAATAAGACCACGCTATATTTATAAACATTAACAAAAGCAAAACAAGTTAATGTTTTGCCCCCTTCACACTCATTGTGTCCCCTTCACACTCAATGTGTTGAACGCGAGCTATATGGTAGGCGGAGTGGGGGGTGTTAGGTTTTATTTTCGTTACGGAATTTCTTGATTTGGTCGCCGCGCTCAAAGCCCGCTATAAAAGCTATGCAATAGCTTTAAAATTCATTGTAATAGCGGAAGGGATCTCGCGCCTAAGTTTGAGAAACGCTGTTCTAAATAAACAGCTTCATTATTGTTTATATGATTTGCTGCTGTATTATTGTACTATGCGAGCTCGTTCCGTAGGTGCGGCCGGGAACAAGCGCCGTAAGGATGTCGACAGCAGGAAGAGTTCGGTTGTAGAAGGTAAGCGCTTCTCAAATATGTGTAAATAGAGATGCTTGTTTTCTAAATATTCGGTTATTATACATATTGACGCTTGAAAGGCAAACGTGACTAAGCGAAAATAACTGCTTTGTACATAAATGATAGGCAATAACCATATTCGATGCGCAAAAAAAATATATTTCTAGGTCTATTAAAATCATTTCAATCCTACACCTAGAGATTCGTTAAAATAGATTTTTTTTCAGGTATTTCAACTTTAGTCTACTGTTAAGTTCACGCATTGTCGCTTAGCCACGTTTGCCTTTCAAGCGTCGATATCTTTATTACTAACCCTATTTAATTTCGAAGAACTTTCCTAACAGGTATATATTTTTGACTATGCATTTGTGAACAGTTTTAAGTTAATACATTATGGTCGCTTATTTATTTTTCCTACCTATTCTAGTAACCTTGAGGGGTTATTCTATATTCACCGAGCTAGTAGGTGAGCTCACGGGGCTCAAACCGGAAGTTTTGCTAGCACTGGCCCTAGCAAGAGCAGTGCTTCGCAGAACCACCGTTACCACCGGATCGGAAACGCGACCCACTGTGAAGATCCGGCGAGAAACTCAGTGGGGTGTGTCTATGGGTTAATTTACTCGTCGAGCCCTTCGTTGCAAGCGATGGGTTCGGCGAGATCGGTTTATTAAAAATTATTTAAATTAATAAAAAATTACTTAACATTTTTTTTATTACAAACAACATTTAATATCCGTAGGATTCACGCTAAGCTCTTCGAATAACTTGGCCCGTCTGACTGCACTGGCCCTGACGCACTTACTGCAGGCGCCCGCGTGTCCCCGCCTGCCAGCCCACACGCCCCTGCGGCGTGCCGCTGTTGATCTGCTGGGGAGGGGCTTCACAGTTTGGGAACCATATTTGGATGTCAGTCACGTTCTTTTAGGTGAGTCGATTTACGTGGCTGGTTAATTCGGTGCTCATGAAATGTGAGCACTTGACTCACAGTTGAAAGAATTTCGGCCGTGAAGCCGTAATGCGTTTCGGTTTGAAGGGTGGGGCAGCCGTTGTAACTATACTGAGACCTTAGAACTCATATCTCAAGGTGGGTGGCGGCATTTATGTTGTAGATGGCTATGGGCTCCACTAACCGCTTAACCCGAGGTGGGCCGTGAGATCATGCACCCACCTAAGCAATAAATAAATAAAAAGAGTATAGCTTTACGACTAAGCCCTCTTGGCAAATCATTTTACAATTTTTTTTCTATGGAACAAAACACAAAAAAAAAGCACAACGAATTTTATTTTTTCAATATCTGGAAATTGTCCAAATTGTATCACCCTATACTATAATTAATATATAAATCTACAGTGGTTTTTTACGGATGTTCCGTTATAACTACTGAACCGTGCATCCGATTGACTTGAAACTTGGTATCCATGTAGAAAATACATGTATTTAATGGATAGGCTAATATTTATATGAGTGTTGGACTCCCTAATAATAATGACAATAAATAATAATGTTAATTTTAAATGCCCAGCGAAACGGGCGAGTACGGCTAGTAAACTATAAATTTAAATAGTGAAAAAAAATTAGGCACTGTCTTATTATATCTTGATTTTTTTTAACTAAGCACACCCTGTATAACCTTGTTAGTTGTATACAGTGAGTTCGCTTTCTGTATTTTTAACATTAAGAGGAGTGAAATGAATTTTGTGTATTCGCTGCGGCAGGTTTGCTGGAGATGTGTTCGGACGCGGATAAGTTGGTTCCGTCGATGACGTACGGTCTCCCGCTGACCGCGCAGGCCGACTCGTGTCGCACGGCACGACACGCGCTGACGCTCATCGCCACCGCCAGGTACGAGCCGCCACAGCCCCAGACTTAGTGGTAGGACCTCTTGTGAGTCCGCGCGGGTAGGTACCACCGCCCTGCCTATTTCTGCCGTGAAGCAGTAATGCGTTTCGGTTTGAAGGGTGGGGCAGCCGTTGTAACTACACTAAGACCTTAGAACTCATATCCCAAGATGGGTGGCGGCATTTACGTCGTAGATGTCTATGGGCTCCGGTAACCACTTAACACTAGGTGGGCTGTAAGCTCGTCCCATATAAGCAATAAAAAAAGGGGACTATTTCTCGCTTCGTGTATGTGCTTTGTGTATTATTTATTATTAAATTTGTAGCCACAAAGTATGAGTGATAGATTTGATTATTGACTTTTAACAGGTTTGACTTCAATATTCAATCAATGAAATAAGGTTTTATTTTGGTTCAATTTGGTTCATTCCGGCACTTAGTTTATCCACTGGTTACAGTTAAATGGAATTAAAAGGTATACTCATTGCCGTTCTCGACAATATTAATAATTTTTCTCAAAAAGAACATTACGGAATTTATAAAAAGAAAAGTTCACGTAATTGCAAAAACAACTTTAGAATTTATTTGTTGTAAGTTTCTATATATATTTATTTATTATTTGAATGCTTTTCAGTTCTAATAGACACAAAACTATTTAATTGTTGAATAAATTATTTTATCTTGACGATGTACTGGTGCTTCTCATACACAATATGACATTAGTAAATTATCCAATAAATGATTTTATCTTGACGATGTACTGGTGCTCTCTAAGGCCGGCGGCGTTCATAACGACGATGGCCCGCGAGGTGGCGCGGTGCGCGGCCGCGGCCCAGAGCGGACAGCCCTCCCCGGCGTATCACGCGCTACAGAAGGGCAGAGCCGAGGTGCTCCGCGGGATCGAGCTGCTCATTGAGAAGATGCACAGCGAAGTCGCCGAACTGCTTGTCGAGGTGCGACTCTTAGACTATCTCGCTCACCGAGGTAGCCGGGATATATTCAAATAACGGCCATCCCTGTGTACTTTATACCGTATGTTCCATGGGGAATGCTCTGAGGAATTTTACCGCCACCGGAATAGACTACCTGGAACCACTGGGTTCATCTACAGTGCGTTTCCAGAGATCTTTTTTGCCACGTACCATCCGGCTCTGGAAAGATCTCCCCTCCACGGTGTTTCCCGAGCGCTTTGAAATGTCCTTCTTCAAACGAAACTTAAGGAGAGTATTAAACGGTAGGCAGCGACTTGGTTCTAGCCATAGTATTGTTGACGTCTATGAGCGACGGTAACCACTCACCATCAGGTGGGCCGTATGCTCGTTTGACTAAACGGACAATAAAAAAACCAATCTACGCCTTGGATTGGACTGGATTGATTGTTTCTTGCCACTGCCCCAATGCTTCATCATCAAGTCACTCACTATACGAGCTCTGGGGAGGAATAGACGTAAAAGTCGAGGGAAAACTTGTGAAATATGGATATGGTTCATTTACATCTTTTTTTTTTTAATATAGCCTAGGTAACAGTTCATGTCGCCCAAACACTGATAATGTCATGGACAATGTCAGCTAGGCATTTTAGGAAAATACTTAACTTAATTAATACTACTAACTCTCCGAATTGGTTGTTTTAAAGGTGATGGATATAATCCTGCACTGCGTGGACCAGTCGCACCTGAAGAGTAAGGGTTTGAACGAGGTGTTCCCGGCCATCTGTCGGTACAACCAGGTCTCGCACTGCCCAGCCACCAGGAGAATTGCGGGTGAGTCCATAATTGTAGTACAGAAAAAAGGATTGTGTGGTTTTATGAAACCACGGTAAAAGTGAAACTTTTTTTCACATTATAAACATTTAACTCTCACAAACATTTACATTATACACTGACAAAAACAAACAAAATAGCGTGGAGCACTGGCACAAATGAGTAACAGTCTATACACTACACGGTTAGCTGCTGCGAGCTATAGGCGTCACCATATTGGCCTTGGCTGCTCTGACGAGCGCCTTGCACTTTATCCCTACTCCGCGGCCGACCGTCACGCGACATGCAACACACAGACGAAAAAGTTTGAGACGATGTAATAAAAGTTTCACTTTAATTAAGTTCAAAGAAAAATGTAGTAAAGTTTGGAGACCAAAAAAACATCGGTAGGTAATAATGACTGCTAACGGGGTCGATAAACATTCACCACCAATTGGGCTTTTTGATTTTCTGCAAATTGTGATAACGTGTTCCAAATTCGAAGTCCTCAGGCCGTACATACATAGTGTCACCACCACCTGGAGACAAAAGTTGGAAGTCTCAGTTGTTAACCAGCCGCCACTCCGTCTATTTCTGCTATGAAGCAGTAATGCGTTTCGGTTTGAAGGGCGGGGCAGCCGTTGTAACTATACTGGAGACCTTAAAACTTATATCTCAAGGTGGGTGACGCATTTACGTTGTAGATGTCTATGTGCTCCAGTAATCGCTTAACACAAGGTAGGCTGTGAGCTCGTCCACCTATCTATATATATAAAAATGAATTGCTGTTCGTTAGTATCGCTAAAACTTGAGAACGGCTGGACCGTTTTGGCTACTTTTGGTCTTTAATTATTTGTGGAAGTCCAGAGAAGGTTTAAAAGGTAGATAAATGAATGAAAATGCTCAGAATTAAATAAAAATAACAATTTTGTTTTTCTTTTGATGTGTCCCCCGTCGGACGGATTCCTTTTGTTTGTTTTAGGTTTATTTTATACAAAAGTTTAGATATTTTATTTATCGATTGAGGCACTACGAAGTCTGCCGGGTCAGCTAGTCTAAGCAATAAAAAAAAAGCTGTATGGTTGTGTCCCAGTCGGCAGCCACACTGGACAGCTAGCACTATACGAGCTGCGGGCGGGGCGCTGCCAGTCTTTGGCCGCCCACAGCGGGCCCGTCACCGCCTGCGCCTTCAGCCCCGACGGCAGGTACCTGGTCTCCTACGCCACGACCGACAACCGACTCTCCTTCTGGCAGAGCACCTCTGGTAACGCATCGCATTATTTATATCTAAAGATTTAAATATTTAAAAAAAGAAACACAAGTGGTAGAAGTAAAGACCTTTCAGCATTCTGTCTCGTTCTCTCGCAGCCTAAATCCTAAAGTTGGATATTTTTGTCTCTTTTTAGGGTCGCTTTTTCGTTTCATTGAATTTTAAATCATAACGGTGCTGAATAAATTTTCACCTCTGCTGCTATTTAAACCTACCTATTCCTACTGAGAAACTATCATGCATTCCAGTTCCGAAGGTCGAGACAGTCTTTATACAATTGAAAATTCGGCCTCATGACTCAAATGCGCCGTGAATACGTCTGGACATACACTGACGTGGTATTTAGTTATCAATTCTAAAACAACAACAACAAACTCGCATAAACATACAGAAACAATATACTGTTTGGAAGTAGTTAACATGGCTTTTACTGTGGTAGGACTTCTTGTGAGTCCGAGCGAGTAGGTACCACCGCCCTGCCTATTTCTGCCGTGAAACAGTAATCGGTTTGAAGATCGTTTCGGTTTGAAGAGTTTTTTTTTATTGCTTATATGAATGGACGAGCTCACAGCCCACCTGGTTTTGAGTGGTTAGTGGAGCCCATAGACATCGACAACATAAATGCGCCACCCACCTGGAGATATAAGTTCTAAGATCTCAGTATAGTTACAAGGGCTGCCCTACCCTTCAGACCGAAACGCATTGCTGCTGCTTAAAAAAAAAAGCTTGTAAGGAGCAGTAGTACAGTGGCCGCGTCGCCGCAGGTATGTTCGGTCTGGGCGCGGCGCAGACCCGCTGCGTGAAGTGCTACAGCACGGCGCCCATGGCGGACGTAGCGCGTCTGAACCCGGCCCGCCTGGCCCGCCTCGTGTGGACCAACTCCAGGACCGTCACCCTCATGCTGGCCGACGGCTCCGAAACCCGGTTCAATGTTTGAACGATCCGACCCGGATATTCCAGACCCGTCGTTGCAATTAGCAACACACGCCACCACAAAACGTATTTGTTAAAACGCAATCGCCATGTCTATATATCGTCGTTGTCGAACCAAAATCTGCTGCTATGTGCACTTTTTCAGATTTGTACTTTTTGACCTTTTCGTATAGTTCACAGCCCTATCTACCGTATAAAATAAATAAATAATAGTTTAAAAAAACTAAAAAACACGCTTTATATAAAATTCAATTAAAAAATTGAAAATATTTTTTTAAGATATTATCGAAATAATAATTCTTCTACTAATATCTGTCAGAATAATATTTATAACTAATAACACCATGCACGCCACGCTTTTTTTACTATAAAAATTTTTTTTTTACACTATTTTCAATTTAAATTTATTAAAATTTATTTTCTATTTTTTAGTTGGGTTTTATATAAAGCGTGTTTTTTAGTTTTTTTTGCAAATATAAATAATGGAATAATCTTATCACATTAGTATATTGTCATCAGTCCTCCATAAATCTACAAAGTTTGAATGAAATCTGGCCGTTTAAAGTGGGTCAAAATCGCGTCTAAAGGAGTCAGTTACAAACATACACGGTAGGCAGCGGCTTGGCTCTGCCCTTGGCATTGCTGAAGTCCATGGGCGACGGTAACCACGCACCATCAGGTGGGCCGTATGCTCGTCTGCCTACAAAGCCAATAAAAAAATTAAAAAATAAAATAAGTGAAGCTAATATAAAGCGTGTAAAAACTGTTATGTTTTTAATTTGATTTAGTTTTTAAAAATTCACCTTCATATAAAAAATTTATACGAAAAAGTTTTTTTTTACTCGTTAATTCAAAATTGTATTTGTGCACATACATAGCAGATTTTGGTTTGACAGTGACGATATGTCAGTCCTTGTGAATCGGTACTGTTACCACTACCGGAAGAGATTATCTGCCTTACTCTCAAATATTGGCAACTTTGATTTCGCCGTGCACAATACACAAACTTATAGTTCGATGGCCGACACTAAAACTGTATTTTAATTGCATATATCAAAGTAAAAATTACGCTTTATCCAAAAACACTTTAGATTCTTTTTTAATTAGCTGGAGCGAAGAAAGACTTAAGGATGTTTATCGGTAGCGATCGAGTTAAAAATGACGGTAGTCCAAAAAAGACAAAAAATATTTAATGACGTCGCTGCGGTTAGAAATGCATTCTGAAATGTTCCCACCGCGTTCTAACTTTTTAGTTATTTCTTGCTCAGATTCAAATTCAAATTCAAAATCATTTATTTCAACTTAGATGTCAGTATGATACACTTGTTGAATGTCAAAATATAAATAACAATGTTAACTCTACCACCGGTTCCAAAAAAAGCCACAGTCCTGAGAAGAACCGGTGAAACAAACTCAGCGGGCTTTTTTTTTTGTTTTTTCTCAAATATTTGGATGTGGCTGGGATACCTTTCTGGTAGCGTCAGTTGGTATAGTCGGTAATGTTTCTATATAACTGTACCACAGGGTGCTAATTTGTATGTAGCTTGAACATTTATCGCTAGGGACGCTGTTCCAACTGCATACAAATTTGAGTTAACTTTTACGGTATCGAAAACGTTAAAAAACTCGCACTAAACACACTGGTTGCAAGTAAATCAATGTTAACAATATTTGAGTCGACTAGTATCAAAGCCGGCAATGTGACTTTTGGACAATTATTGGTAAATCAGAAAAACGAATTATTGACTTTGTATTCCATTGGCAGCCACAAAACTCTTCTGAACGACATCTTAGATAAATAACAGGTTAAGTATTAACCTTTATTTAATGCAGGTTTTGAACCGTATTCTTTGAAGGAGAAAAAAAATATTCAAATCAATCTGTATTGACATATCAATAACATTTTCTTGTTCAAATGCACAGATTGCCACCTTTGATAATAGACGACTCATTTGTTGTATGCGGCAGGCGGATAATTAGTTTAGTCTCATTTATCTGTTGACTGTACATACTCAGAGCACAAGAGAAAATCCTACTTTGACTTACTGTTCAAGGTGGACGTATAAAATTGAAGTAATTATAAAAAAAATAAAAATATAACCTCATTCTTTGATATTGTTATTCCTTTATTTTTAGCCTTAGAAAATTTTATTAGAAAAATGTATATTATTAAATTATTAATTTTTTTTTTAGATATTTTATCAATTGATTTATTTATTTTAACACGACTGTCTCAATTGGGGGCACCTTTTTTTTTGATATTTTTTTTTCTCGTCTATATTGTTTATTATTGTCAATAACAATTGCTGTGTTTTATTTTATATAATAATTATAACATCAGAAAATAAGTGACATTAACACAAAGCCTACAATTTTCATTCCATTAATAAAACTAATATAACTTTCATGTGCATATTTTTATTCCTTTTTATCCGATAGACGCAATTAATCAAAATACGGATAAAAATATTTTTAGATATTATTTATGCTATTTAAAAAAAATTACTTTACTGGTGGTAGGACCCATTGTGAGTCCGCACGGGTATGTACCACCACTCTGCCTATTTCTGCCGTGAAGCGGTAATGCGTTTCGGCTTGAAGGACGGGGCAGCCGTTGTAGCTATACTGAGACCTTAGAACTTATATGTCAAGGTAGACAGTGCATTTACGTTGTAGATGTCTATGGGCTCCGGTAACCACTTAACACCAGGTGGGCTGTGAGCTCGTACACCTATCTAAGCAACAACAAAAAAATGCTTTTAATTCCTAGTGACAGCTATGTACCTGCCTATCTTTTATTAAAGGATGACAGTACAAAATTTACATTGACAGCATAACCTATAAAAATTGCATTTTTTTCGCGGCTTCATAAACTTACATTTAATACATACAGGTAGTTTTCCAATTACAGAGCATAATGCGACTCAGTGATGCACAATGCCGAATTATGCTGAAACTCAATTGGAACGTGAATTAGTTTTCAAATGCATCAGCAGAGTGCGCTAAGTTAGCACAGTTTTAATTAACATTGATTATTTCTAAGAAACTACGACGAAACGAAAGCCTTACAATTTTTTTTTCAACATTAAATAATATTACTAACGATAATATAAACAAAATTTCGATCAATGCCAACTTAAAGAAAAAACACTTGTCAATTTTCTGTCACTGAGTCGGTATCGATTGCGAGTATCACGCGAGAGCAGTACTTCTGAGAGTGCTCGGTTGTGCTTCGAGTTGCTGTGGTTGGAACATCCAACGTTGAGCATTATGCCGCATAATGCGCTCTTGTGCTGTCATTGGAAAACTACCACAGAAAAGCTCGCAAATGTATTCGGATTGATTTAAAAGTGTTTATGCTCACATTACAGTTTTGTTTATTTAATTCATAACGTATCTATCACATTTGGTCGGATTTGCTTCTAGACTTAGTATAAATTCGGACCTAATTAACGTATTGTTGGAATGCCAATATTTCTCTGTTACAAAAAAATTGTTAAAAATATAATAATGGAAATTATAAGTATTATTATTGTTTTAAAATAAGATTATTTAATGAAATGTACGAACGATATATAATAATAAATATATTGCGAAATATAGATATTTGTGGTTTTTTTTTATTTTTTAAATGCGTGCTCTAAATTATGCTCAGTTGGAGTGTGATAATCTCGTTATATTTTTGTCGCCGTCACACGTAGCCATTGCAACAGAGTTCAACCCATCTATTCGAGTTTTCAGATATTGTTTTTGCTTAGAACGACTTCTCCCATTGAAATTTCCACAACGCGTACCTTTTGGATGTATTTCGAACCAAGTTACTAGAGTGGATAACCTATTTAAGCTTCGACAGTAATAGTAAAGATGTCTGAATTCACAATTCCATCGATACCAGGGCCATGCTAATGGACGGTGTTTTTATACAAAAAATATGATTGGTGGTAGGACGTCTTGTGAGTCCGCACGGGTGGGTACCACCACCCCGCCTATTTCTGCCGTGAAGCAGTAATGCGTTTCGGTTTGAAGGGCGGGGCAGCCGTTATACTGTTTAAAGTGAGACCTTAAACTCATGTCTCAAAGGTGAGTGACGGCATTTACGTTGTAGACGTCTATGGGCTTCAGTAACCCCTTAACACCAGGTGGGCTGTGAGCTCGTCCACGCATCTCAGCAATAAAACAAAAATATTGGCGGGCTGCCAACTCTTTGTATGCTAATTTTTTTTCTTAATAATTATACAACAGTGTTGCAAATTCGACTTCAAACCTCCAGTCTGTCTATGAACTTTTCTAGTCACTAAACACAACAAAACAAGAACTTGTATTCTTGTGCGCAGCCCCACTGACATATGCCCTTCATCAAACGAGGACTGCGGAGAGTACGCTATGGTAGGCAGCGACTTAGCTGTGCCCTGACATTGCAGACATTTGCCCACAATTTTACTGGTGGTAGGACCTCTTGTGAGTCCGCGCGGGTAGGTACGACCACCCTGCCTATTTCTGCCGTAAAGCAGTAATGCGTTTCGGTTTGAAGAGTGGGGTAGCCGTTGTAACTATACTGAGATCTTAGAACTTATATCTCAAGATTAATTAATGAAAAAAAAACATAAATACAATATACCACTTCAGTACACCTGAGAGACCATACTGAGACCTAATGCCACTTCCAACAAGGTTGCCTTAAACCTTTAACGCTACCGTACTAGAAAGAGACAGAGCGAGAGTGAATGCGTGGCCCTCGAACGCGCGCTTGTTTACCTGTTAAGCCTATTCGGACTAGGCGAGTATTTTAGTCGAGTACCGAGTAATTTAGTGGCTAAACTACTCGCTACTGCACAGAAATCGTTCGCATTACGGTCCAGTACAGTACACAAGTGAGTGGTGTTTTGCAAGATGAACAGGCTGCAACGCAATATAGTGAATAAACTGATTAAGCTAATCGTAATGGCTATTTTAGAAGAGGTGGAGGAGGAAATTTCTGTAATTAAGAAAAATAAGTTATGGGTACGAAAATGGATCGATAAAAGAGATAAACTAGGAGCTACTAAATGTCTTCTGAAGGAATTAGCATTGGAAGAGATCCGAAAGAATACTTCGATAATTTGAGAATGTCCGAAAGTTTGTGAATTTTCTGTTAACGAAAATACACTCTCAAATTCAGCGCAAAGATACCCATTTGAGAAGTGCCACTAATGAACCTGACTAATCAACAGGTTCGGACTTGTTTGGTCAGTGAGCCAGTGAGCAAGGACGCGTGGTGGGAGGCGCTACTCGCCCGATAAAATAGAACAAAATGGATTGACTTAACTAAAGGGTGACCTCGCCCGGCTGTATTCAGTGAATGAACTGATGTACTTGCCGGGGGTGACGGTTGAGGGATGGCGTCCAAACCGAGGACCTGCGCAGTGTCACCGCTGCCAGGCCTTCGGTCACGCGTCCACCAATTGTCACCGTGCGGTCCGCTGCGTTCGATGTGCCGGCGAGCACATTGTGGCGGACTGCCCGAGGCCANTGAAACCAAAAAAAAAAAAAAAAAAAAAAAAAATATTTCAAGCAGAGGACAGCAGCCGGCGCCGGGGTGACTCCTCCGCGGGCATCACTCCACCCAGGAAAATAACAAGCCCATCGTATTATATTTAAGTATTTATTCATTTTGTCGATGTGAGTGTGCCGAGCACGCTGCGAACAGCCTCCCTTAATCCCGTCTTGCAATAATTTCACCCCTGCCCTGTGTGGCAGGGAGCCCCGTCCCGGGTAGTGGGGTTTGCCCCGAGGCCCGTTCCGTGCCCCCGAAAGGGGGTACGACGACCCTTCTTGTTGACTTAACTAAATTATTTACTAACCTACTCGACTAAATTTTTTGTGCTCAGACACATTTAGCTACTAAATTACTCGGTACTCGACTAAAATACTCGCCTAGTCCGAACAAGGCTTTACAGACCAGCGCGAGTCTTAGCAACGAGATGTTTTAATGAAGTATTTAAAAATGTTTATGTATACATTTATTTTTCTATCTATAATTTTAAATATATATAATATAAATGTTGAAGATGTCGCATCTCTTATAAGTACACAGCATTCCCTATTACAAGAGCAATCTGATTTAAGGATGACAAATAAAGAAAACCACATTACTGTACACTGCAAAAGAAGTTTCACTTCATTCACGTGCACCAAGTTACACACGCACCCTTTTTTTTATCTCACAGCACAGAGACACATAGCGAATAATTCTAGTTACACGACCGTTAAAACAGTACTTAATTTTATATCGATTGTAAAATCCTATGGCCTCATTAGCCGTTGTAATCTATTTGTTTAGTTTTGATACGTTAGTCGATTTTAATAAGCTCAACACAAGTTACCACCGGGACTCAAACTTGAAAGTTACAAGGTTTGCGTGTTTTTTTTATTGCTTAGATGGGTGGATGAGCTCACTGCCCACCTGGTGTTAAGTGGTTATCAGTGAGCCCATAGACAGTTATATCGCAAATGCGCCACCTACCTTGAGATATAAATTCTAAAGTCTCAAGTATAGTTACAATATGTTTTGCTATTATGGTAGGTACCGTGGAAGACACCAAAATTGGCACTGTACATAGATTTATATAATTATTACGTTTGTTTAAAGCAATCCGTTGAAAATTATAACCTGCCTTTAAGTGGGATTTAAGTTAATTTATTTTTTATTGCCTAGATGTGTGGACGAGCTCACAGCCCACCTGATGTTAAGTGATTACTGAAACCCATAAACATCGACAACGTAAATGCGCCACACACCTTGATATATAAGTTCTAAGATCTCAGTATAGTTACAACGGCTGCCCAACCCTTCAAACCGAAACGCGTTACTGCTTCACGGCAGAAATAGGCAGGGCGGTGGTACCTACCCGCACGAACTCACAAGAGGTCCTACCACCAGTAATTACGCAATTTATAATTTTGCGGGTTTGATTTTTATTACACGATGTTATTTCTTCACCGTGGAAGTCAATCGTGAACATTTGTTAAGTACGTATTTCATTAGAAAAATTGGTACCCGCCGGCGGGATTCGAACACCGGTGCATCGCTACACACGAATGCACCGGACGTCTTATCCTCTAGGCCACGACGACTGTCATGATTCATGATCAAATTAATGCTGAAGTATAGGATGGCATTTGTATTATAGGAGTCTAAAGATATTATTTGCATGCCTAAAGCACGATATCTATTCCTTGGAAACTTTGAAAGAATTAAGATAGTATCGAATTATAATGATGCAATAAAAAATATCATTGTCAGGTTTCTAGTGAGGTTATTTATGGTTGTGTGTATTATCCTCCGGAAACCCCATCGGAGCGGTCAATAAAACAGTAAGTATGCATGATTATTCGCGTCAGCTACCGCGGTGGATCGCTACACGTTAACCACTGCCGGTAACCGTACTCGTCGAACTCGACAAAGAGTTCGCCGTGCAACCTAACCCATGAATCAGCTCGCTGAGTTTCTCGCCGGATCTTCTCAGCGGGTCGCGATTCCGATCCGGTAGTAGATTCATTCGCGAAGCAGCTGCTCTTGAGCTGGAGGCGCTCGGGTAGCTGTTAGCAAATCCCACCCCTCCTGGCTGAGCCTTTGCTCGCCCACCTGTCCTGGTGAAACTGGAAAGGCCTCCGGGCCAGCAGTAATCCTTCAATCATAAAAAAAAAAAAACGTTAAACACTGACCAACATACGTATAGCTATAGTTTATTACCAAAACTGCCTAGTAAGCTAAACGGTGCGGGCTATGATATCATTCCCCTACATCATTTTATAGATACCCAAAATTGTATTTTCTCCCATAAGATGAATGTGTGCGAGAAGAGAATAATTAAATAGTCAATCTACTCTTCTGTTACTATAACTCTAACCTAAATAACCTAAATATTTTAATAACCTAAATATTTTAGGTTATTTCATGTTTATTTCCGGTGCTTAAAANAGAGAATAATTAAATAGTCAATCTACTCTTCTGTTACTATAACTCTAACCTAAATAACCTAAATATTTTAATAACCTAAATATTTTAGGTTATTTCATGTTTATTTCCGGTGCTTAAAAGTAACAAAAAAAGACTTTTGTCAAATAGATCGAATGATCAAATCTTGTTTAAAATCTTATTTTATGTCTAACTCTTTTTTTATACTAGTGGTCCCGCAGTAGTCGAAATTCGACTATAATTAATTGGAATTGTAAGTTTGTACACTATTATGATTGTATTTTATACTTCTTTAATCACAAATTTCGCCAAGACTACACTATAAAAAATATTAACAAAGGCAAACAATATTTATTCTATTCTGAATTTGACCACAGACGTCAAGAACAAAAGTTTGACAATACAAAATAGTATGCATGCGTGTGTGCGTCAAATACATGGTAGTGTGTGTAATGGTTTTTTATTGCATTTTTTAGGCATAATTTAAAAAAAATATTAGCATTCTGCACTTCTTCTCTATATTCTTTATAAGTGTGGAAAATTTCATACTCATCCGTCCGCGCAATTTTCGTAAAAAGGGATACAAAGTTTTTGCTTCACGTATTAATATATAGATAGGTACAGTTAATCAAAGTGCAATGAAAGCGGTTCTGTTTGTCAAGGAAAGCGAATTTAAAAACGTATTATGCGTCAAAATTGGCGCGCTTCCTGTCACCCTTACCTTACCGCCCTTGAATGAATACCACTTACTTTTTCACTCTGCGGTGCTAGTATAAAAACATGCGGCGACGTAATGAGAGCATTCAGTAGCCTTCGCGCAGTCCACTACAGAAGTGCACGATGAGAGTTCTGGTTAGTCGAGCGCTTTGTTAGTTGTCAGTTGATGTGACGAGCGGTGTGTCCGGTGACCCTGGTCAGAAGCGGTATGTGATGTTGTCTTGTGTGTTGCAGATCCTAGCCGCCGCCTTCCTCGCCTCCGCCGCAGCCGTTCCCTCGGGAGCCCTGCTGGCCGGACACTACAGCCACGGACTCGTGGCTCACGGAGTCGTGGCCCACGGGCTCGCCCCCGCCGCCCCCACCATCTCCCCCGGAGACCTCCACGGCGCCGCCATCGACGCTCACGTTGAGGCCTCCGACCACGTCCGCGCCGCTGCCGACGCCGCCCGTGAATATCACGACCAGGCCGCCGAGATCCACGGCCAAGCCGTCAACGCAGCCGAAGACCACTCCTGGCAGGCGGTCGACGCTGTCAAGACCGTCGAGGCACAGCTGGACGGTGCCGCCGCCGGAGCCGCCCCCGTTCTCGCCAAGCAACTCGCTGGTCACGTAGCCGCCCCCGTGGTCGCCCACGCTGCCTATGGCGTCGCTCCCGTTGTTGCCCACGCTGGATACGCTGCCCCAGTAGCTTATGGTGCTCCAGTGCTCGGACATGCCGCGTACGCTTCCGCCCTCGCCGCCAGCAAGACGGTGGTCTCCCAGTCTCTGACCCAATCCCATCCCGCCCAGATCGCTCCTCTGGTCGCCTACGCCGGCCACGGTCTCGGCTATGCTCACGGACTCACCCACGGACTCGCTCACGGATGGTAATCTGTGATACAAACCAAATCACCTAATACCCATCTAGTTGTTGGAATTGTAAATAAAATTGTGCAGGCGAGAGAGGATGTGTGTAAAATAAATAAATAAATAAATAAAAACGTTTTTGTTTTCACTTGACCGTAATCTGTCCACAATTAAACTGAACTCTATATTTGGAGTGAATAATGAGCTACATACAGATGAGGAGAACGTTGACTGAATTAATAATTTTTTATTTTGGCATCGCATATTGCAATCGTTGCAATGAAATACAAAAGTATCCGTCACAGCAATATCTATATATTAATACGTGAAGCAAAAACTTTGTATCCCTTTTTACGAAAATTGCGCGGACGGAGGAGTATGAAATTTTCCACATTTATAGAGAATATAGAGAAGAAGTGCAGAATGCTAATATTTTTTTGAAGTAATGCATAAAAAATACGTTAAATCAATAAAGAAAACATTACACACACTACATACCATGTATTTTACGCACACACGCATGCATACTATTTATTGTCAAACTTTTGTTCTTGACGTCTGTTGTCAAATTGAGATTAAATATTGTTTGTCTTTGTTAATATTTTTTAAAGTGTAGTCTTGGCGAAATTTGTGAATATAGAAGTATAAAATACAATCATAATAGTGTACAAACTTACAATTCCAATTAATTATAGTCGAATTTCGACTACTGCGGGACCTCTAGTAAATATAACTTTGCATTTTGTCAATAGATTTTCGTCAAAAACAATAGAAACGCGGAAGAAATACAGACGGACGACATAACAGAGCTTTGTTTATTATAGCTAACAAGATTATTACAACTATTATTACAACCTCGAGACTGCCTCAAATTCCATACCGGAACGTTATCCGGATATTATTAAGGTCATAATTTATATTCGAAAGTAATTCAAGGTTAGGTAAGTTATGCTTCATAATTATGTATCTAGTACTTTAATTAAGCACGCGGGACGAAGTTTTGACGTTTTTTTAAACATAAAAAATAGTACATTGTGTAGGTACATTTTACACGCGGGAGGGTTTTTTTCCCGAGGTGCACATAGGTACTATTTTTTCTCCTACCAGGCCGAAAGTTCGTGGAGTACCGAGGCGGGGACCAGGGGCGAAGCCCTGGCGGGGTGTATTAAAAAACAATTTAACTGTTTTTTAATTAAAATATTCATTTTTACAATGAGTAGTATTATAACTTAACAATTATTACAATATTGAAATGCCCGGAGCGAGCAACTCATTCCCTCTTTGTGCAATCTTCTAGAATCAGATAATCATTTACTTTATAGTAAGCTTTATTGCACAGATGTTCTTTAATAGTTTTCTTAAACCTATGTATACGTAGGTTCCACTTCATTTTCGTTCAATACGCATTAAGATTAAACAATATTTTTGTTCAATGTTAGATAATGAAATACGTACTTAACAGATGTTCACGATTGACTTCCACGATGAAGGAATACAATCGTGTAATAAAAATCAAAACTCGTAAAATTATAATTTTCGTAATTACTGGTCGTAGGACGTCTTGTGAATCCTCACGGGTAGATACCACCACCCTGCCTATTTCTGCTGTGAAACAGTACATAATGCATTTCGTTTTGAAGGGTGGGGCAGCCGTTGTAACTATACTGAGACCTTAGAACTCATATCTCAAGGTGGGTGGCGCATTTACGTTGTGGATGTCTATAGACTCCAGTAACCACTTAACACCGGGTGGGCTGTGAGCTCGTCTACCCGTCTAAGCAATAACAGCAGATTCATTGAATTGATATATATATATCTGTTAGAAAAAACTGAGTGAAAACAAATTAAATGAAATGTCTCCAAACTAGACTTATTTTTTAGTATTTCCAGATGTGCTTTTCATAGTCTTGCAATTTGAAATACGTTATGCATTTCTCTATGTCCCATTTTTGTATTCGGCCCAAAGCCGCTGAGGGAGTTCATATAGAGTCCCTTCTTTATTTCGCCGTAAAGTCGTGTTTTATGTAATTGAAACCGCAGTTGGAACAATAGAAATTTTATTGTTGTAGCGGCATAAACAATTCCAAGTAATTATATTATATTAGTTATTGAACACATTACATATAAATTATTTTACGTTTTAAATTTTCGGCGGTAAAAACGTCCCGTGTCACAGACTATATTCTTTTTCCCACCTCTCGTGCGTTCCGGCTTACGCATCATAAAAAATGTGCGTTCATAAACGCCACACCGCTTTTGTCCACAAAAATTTCCGTAGCACTAATCCGCAAACTCGCTCCGTCCACAATAATGCGATACAATAAATTTATTTCTTGCTAATTCATAACCCACATTACCATTAAGAAAAACGACAGCAAATAAAACACAGTTTTGCTCATTCTACATTTTATTACACAATAATTTTACAAATATGCCAGTTTTCCATTGATCAGCGTACATACGTTGGCACTCTGCGACTAGACTGAAATGTCGGAAACTTCACAGTTTAAATCTTCTAAATAACACCGTCGCATTATCAACAGTATGCTTAATGCGAGTTTTTTAACGTTCTCGATAGCGTAAAAGTTAATTGTATGCAGTTGAAACAGCGCCCCTAGCGGCAAACGTACAGTTTTAAGATACTCCTGTAAAAAACTCTCAACGAGACAGGCAGCGCCTAGTGTGGAGAGTTTTTAGCAAACTGTTATGTGTAAATGTTTTCAAGGTTAATAAATAAATTATTATTATTATTATTAATATTAGCTAACTTTTACGTTATCGAGAAAGTTAAAAAAGTTGCACTAATCACACAGTTGTCTAAACAACGCTATTAAGTTTACCGTGTAACTTAACCCTCAGACACAACCCACTGAGTTTCTCGCCGGTTCTTTTCAGTGGGTCGCGTTTCCGAGCAGGTGGTAGATTCAGCGAAGCACTTCTTTCCAGGACTAGTTTTAGCAAATACTCCCAGGCTGAGCCCTATCAGCTCGCCTACGCGTTCGCTGAAGCTACCATAATCCGCAAGGTTATTAGCAATGGGTAGGCAAGTTCACCCATATTCTCCACACCAGTTCAATTCTAATCACTACATAGCATAAGACAAAGTCGCTTTCTCTGTCCCTATATCTGTCTGGCCCTATGTATGCTTAAATCTTTAAAACTACGCAACGGATTTTGATTCGTTTTTTTTTAATAGATAGAGCGATTGAAGAGGAAGGTTTATATGTATAATAACATCCATTAAATAGTCGAGAAATCAATAATAAATTACAGTTTGCGAAGCGAAGCGAGGGCGGGTCGCTAGTTTAAGCATATAGTTCAACAGAGATATGACGAAAATCGACTAATTATATGTACTTAAAATTTAATTATTTTGGTATCTAGTGAGTGTCTGTAAAGTATGGCGTCTTATAATAGGCTAGCAGATTTACGTCTCAATATACACGGCAACGTTTAGTTTGGTGCCTATGTATGTTAAAACGCATGAATCGCAATGTTTTTTTAATATCTAAAAATAGATTACAGTTTTATTATACGGATAATATTGAAAGCACTACCTTATACAGCCAGTCGTCCAATAAATTCAGTAACAATAGCAAGTCTCCTCATTGATCTATTCCTTCTTAGTGACAATAAGATTACGAGATGCCAGACTTGATACCATAACATTGCCACGTCTGGCACAAGGATAATATGATATAACACATCGACAATTACACTTAAAAATTACAAGATTTACCCGTACACAATTTTTTTAATATAATTACATTCTATCCATATATTTATCGTTTATAAACACTGAATATATATTAAGAGTGTATTAAGTATTACGTGCGTCGCAGGCCGCGGCTTAGATTGCACTGAAGTCATAATTCTATATTTAAAACAGAAAGAATGTTGCCAATCTAAATCTATAAAAGCGAACATCAACAAAAATTCATATCTTTTTGTTTCTGCGTTATAAGAAAAATCAAGACACTTTCACGTGTTAAATATTGTTTTAATTTTTTTTTAATTAAAAGTACCCGCATATTACGAGAAACGTTTCAAAATATGACATCATCGCGAAACGTACTGCTAAATATATGCAAAAAGTATATTTTTTTACTCTTTTCATATGCAAATTATATTTGGTAAAAAACATTGGTATTAGAGAAAACACTAAGCGCCTCCAAAGAGTGCACATAACAAATATTGGTTTGACAACTAAGATTGTTTTATTGAAAAGTTCACTCCGATAATTTTTTTGAACAATAACTATTCAAAATAACTAAACTGAAAATAGTTTTAGGTCATTAAATATTAATTTTTATTTTGTTCGATCGTATGGTATACGAACACTAGCAAAACTAAAAACTTCTAACGTGATCAATTACGAAATAAAAACAAAATTACTTCTGAATTATATCCATTTTATTGTACTTCAGACGTTTTGAATTTTTTCTTATAGCGTAAATTCCAAGAAAAGTTTGCAAACACGAGAATTAATATGGTAGTTTTCCAATTACAACACAAGAGCGCATTATGCGGCATAATGCTCAGCGGTGAATGTTCCAACTACAGCAACGCTTCGCACAATCGAGCACTCTCAAGAGTACTACTCTCGCGTGATACTCGCAATCGACACCGACTCAGTGACAGAAAATTGACAAGTGTTTTTTCTTTAACTTGGCATTGATCGAAATTTTGTTTATATTATCGTTAGTAATATTATTTAATGTTGAAAAAAAATTGTAAGGCTTTCGTTTCGTCGTAGTTTCTTAGAAATAATCAATGTTAATTAAAACTGTGCTAAGTTAGCGCACTCTGCTGATGCATTTGAAAACTAATTCACGTTCCAATTGAGCTTCAGCATAATTCGGCGTTGTGCGTCACTGAGTCGCATTATGCTCTGTAATTGAAAAACTACCTATAGGTTTAATATCTATGGAAAACAATTTAAAGTCCTTCAATAAAAATCCTAAGGAAAAAAAACAGGTAACATTAATCGAATACCAAATTAAATGATCCTTTTAGAACCGTATCTACATTCCAGAATAGAATTAAAAATCAACATTACTCATTTCAACTGAACAT